AGCCAAGGAGGATGCCCAGGGAGTTGGGCACCAGCACCGTCATGGAGTTGATGAGCGCGGCCTGCGCGCCTTTCTTCGTCAGCCGCGAGGTTGCAAGGGGGTTTCGGGTTGAGGGTTTAGGGTTTAGGGTTTAGGGAAGGGCTTAGGGATTAGGGTTTAGGGTTTAGGGTTTAGGGTTTCGGGTTTCGGGTTTAAGGCTTCGGGTGGGCACCTAGCAGGAAGAAGCTGACTTAGAACCGTGTACCCGCAACGAACGTAGGGAAGAAGACCTTCGTTAAAGGACAAGGATAAACGGTCGAGCGCTCGGTACATTTCGCACTACTAGCCCTAACTCCTCAAACTTGACGCCGCAAGGGGTTTAGAAATCACGGTTTTTGGGAACCCTAAACCCGAAACCCCAAACCCCCAAACCCTAAAACCCTAAAACTCTTTAGGCTGGGAGGCTTGCGGGTTCTATAGGCAGGGCGTGCTACGTGAAGGTGTTGGGGCCTCGCGCTTGAGTAGTTGGCTTAGGAAGCTAAGCTTTGTAGAGGGAAAGATCCAAGCATGTAAGCAGCAAAGTGCGAAGCAAGAGTGATTCCGTGATTCATCCTTTTGTATCAGGAGCTCTACTAAGTGAAACTATATCCCAAGGGCCTGCCAAGAAAGGGTATAGGAGTTTAAATTTAGGGGCTTCGGGTTAGGGTGTGGGCATTTAAGGGTTCAGGGTTTCGGGGCTAAGGGTTTAGGGAGGCTGCGCCCTACACCCTAAACCCTGAACCCTAAACTCTACTGTAACCGGGACACCAAGAAAAGGACCAAAGCAGTTGGAGAGCTGCCCGAGCGCCTGCCCTACAACACCCAAGCATCCAATAATAATATTCTGCCTTCTTATGGCATTTAATGCATTTCTTTTATTTGTTTGTTTGCTTTTGTTTTTTTTTGGGGGGGGTTTTGAGCAAATACTAGTAAACCCTACCTCAAGAACCCAAAACCTACCCTTGTGTGTAGGTCACCCGCAGCAAGCCCCTTCTAGGATTCTCACGTCAACCATGGCCTTGGGTCTCTTGAGATTTAAACCCTGGACCCAGAAAAAGCCTTAAACCCCAAACCCCAAACCCTAAACCCGAAACGGAGCCACCCCCATACCTTCCGTACGCCGCCAGGTCGCACCACAGAATGCAGATGACTAAGGTGAGTACGGACATGGGCAGTGGCATGTACCTCGGCCGTATGCCAAGATTCCCTCCACCCTAGCCCCGAAGAAACCCAAAAAAACTGAACCCAAAATGCTGAAACCGACCTCCGAAGCCCTCGAAAATCCTCGCTAAACCCGAGAAACCCTAGCGAACAGGGGAATTGGGGTCTGTGAGGAGAGGGCTTAAGGGTTTAGGGCTTCAAGCCCCCAAAAGGAGTCCAGGGTCGGGGGTTAGGGTTTGTTGATGAGGGTTTCGGGTTCAGAGTTCAGGGTTTAGGGTTTGGGGTTTAGCGTTTAGGGTTTAGGGTTTAGAGCGCCCATTCCCTCCTTGGGGGAGGGTTCCGAGAACAGGGCGGGGTACCCTGCGTGGTGGTCCGGATGATCATATTGGGGGGTATGTAAGGGGGGGTACCTCAATCTTGGGAAATAATACTTGTTTGGGGGGCTTACGACCCAATATAGATCCCCAAATAATAGGGTCCCTTTGTAGTCAGGACCCAACCCTAAACCCTAAATCCTAAACCCTAAACCCTAAGCCCTAACCCCTAAACCCTAAACCCTAAACCCTAAACCCTAAACCCTAAGCCCTAAGCCCTAAGCCCTAAACCCTAAACCCTTAACCCCCAATTTCGGAAACCCGCATGTGCGTTCCGTGGCAGCACATCCCGGCACGGATCGCATTTGGTGAAGAGGTTCTCTAAGGGTAGCTACATGGTCCCTTAGTAGGGTTTAGGGTTTAGGGTTTAGGGTTGAGGGTTGAGGGTTGAGGGTATAGGGTTGAGGGTTGAGGGTTTAGGGTTTAGGGATTAGGGTTGAGGGTTGAGGGTTGAGGGTTTAGGGTTTAGGGCTCGGCCCAAGGGGGACCCCTTCAGCCGGGCGGCTTCACCGACTTGGTCCGGATCACCTTGCGCATGACGACGAGCGGGGACCCGTAGAGCCTGGGGAGTGGGTGGACACGCTACTTGGAGGATCACGGGCAGTTATAAGTAGGGCTCCTCCCTTAACTAAGGTGTGCGAAAATAGGGTACCGTACGTCTTAGGTAGTTATACGTCGGGGTACCTTAACTAAGGTTCTGATGCAGGTTGCCTTGCTTATATCCCTACTGAGAACTACCTTCAAGTATCCCTGAACCCTAAACCCTAAACCCTGGGTCCGGGGCTTGAGCTTTCTCAGGGGCCTCTCCCTTGAAAATTTGAGATCCAACCCCTGAACCCTTCTCGGGCTTCAGTGGGTCTTCAGGGTCGAGCGGAAACGGAAAACTTGGAAGCCCGGTAACCAGATCATGCTATGGGCACCTTTTTGTGGCTTGGCTACTTTTGAAGGGGTCGCATAACCCCAAGACAAGGGTAAAGGGCACCACTGTCCTACCAAGTAGCCCAAACCCTAAACCCTAAAGCCCTCTTAAACCGAATAAGGGACAATATAAAGAAACCAAGGGCCTACCTAGGGAAAAAAAGATGAACTCGACATGCAACCAGATGGCAGGATGTTAAGGACGTCCGTCACGAGCCCACTCACTCGGCCTGGGTGTGGGGGGGGGGGGGGGGCTTGCGCCTGGATTCAGGGTTGAGGGTGTAGGGTTTAGGTCTCGGGTTTAGGTCTAGGTTTCAGGGTTCAGGGTTCAGGTTTCAGGGTTCAGGGTTCAGGGTTCAGCCCTAAACAACCTGAACCCCCTGAACCCCCTCAACCCCCTCAACCCCTAAACAACCTGAAACCCCTGAACCCCCTGAAGCGCTGCTTGACTACCGTCTGCGTAAGATCAGGATCTTGAGCATGAATCATGCGAAGCTTGTCCGCCAGCAGAACTGACTCCGGAATGAAAGATGCTCTGTACTGGACCCCTCCTGTGTCCCGTGCTCTCTCTGCTCAAATCCGCTGCTAAGTTGCAACGTCTGTCTGAGTGACTCACTTGTTCTCTCCCCATCCATGTCGCCCGCAGACGCGGGCTGCAAAATGCTGGACAATAGAACGATGACCCTAAACCCCCTAACCCGAAACCCCCTAAACCCTAAACCCCCTAAACCCCCTAAGCTCTGAACCCCCTGAACCCCCTGAACCCCCTCGACCCCCTAAACCCCCTAAACCCCCTGAACACGGTGAAGATCCGAGGAGCTCTTGAGCGCACGGTCGCCAAAGAGAGGCACAATGCCTGGCTTGTTTGTCGGGGGTAGGGTTTAGGGTGTGGGGTTTAGGGTTTAGGGTTTAGGGTTTAGGGTTTAGGGTTTAGGGTTTAGGGTTTAGGGCTTAGGGTTTAGGGTTTAGGGTTTAGGGTTAGGGTTTAGGGCTTACGGTTTAGGGTTTAGGGTTTAGGGCTTAGGGCTTAGGGTTTAGGGGTTAGGGGTTAGGGGTTAGGGGTTAGGGGTTAGGGTTCAGGGTTTAGGATTTAGAGTTTGGGGTGTAGGTTTTTGCGCCGGGGGGGGGTGGGGGGGGGGGGGGGGGGGGGGGGGGGGGGAAGGGGCTTGGGGGGTGTTTAGGGCTTCAGCATGCTTTCAGGCGGTTTTGGGAGGTTTGGGGGCGTTTATGGCTGATTAGGGATGTTGAGGTTCTGGTTTAGGGGTTCAGGGCTTAGGGGCAGCTCCACAATCACACAAATCTTTTCAGGCCGAGTTCGTGACTGCGCGAGCTTGCGGTGGATTCTTGGAAGCCCCTACGATCCCACACTAAGTGCTAACCCACACTCACACCTCAAACCGCCCCAACTCTAAACCCTAATCCCTTAATTATACCCCCAAGCCCCTGAAACCCTAAACGCCTAAACCCTCAGCCCTATTTCTGCTTATAACTGAACTTATAACCATATAGGGGCACTTAAGGGGCTCATAAGTGGCTTAAAAGTACAGTCATACTTGGCTAGTAAGCACCATGAACCTCCAAGTAAACCCTAAACCCTAAACCCTAATCCCTAAACCCTAAACCCTAAACACCCCCTGGCCCTTAACCCGGAGGCCTTCAAACGAGCTGATGAGGAGGGCTTCGAAGACCACGAAGAGGAGGATGAGCCGCAGGAACTCGCGTGCACGAGCCCTGGGCGCCGGGGCTTGATCTTAGTGGTTTAGGGTTTAGGGTTCAGGGTTTAGGGTACAGGGTTTAGGGTTTAGGGTCTAGGATTTAGGATTAGGGTTTAGGGTCTAGGATTTAGGATTTAGGGTTTAGGGTCTGGGATTTAGGGTCTAGGGTTTAGGGTCTAGGGTCTAGGGTCTAGGGTCTAGGGTCTAGGGTGTAGGGTTTAGGGTTTAGGGTTTAGGGTTTAGGGTTTAGGGTTTAGGGTTTAGGGTTTAGGGTTTAGGGTTTAGGGTTTAGGGTTTAGGGTTTAGGGTTTAGGGTTTAGGGTTTAGGGTTTAGGGTTTAGGGTTTAGGGTTTAGGGTTTAGGGTTTAGGGTTTAGGGTTTAGGGTTTAGGGTTTAGGGTTTAGGGTTTAGGGTTTAGGGTTTAGGGTTTAGGGTTTAGGGTTGTCAGTTCTGGACGGTATGCGTTTAGGGTTTAGGCTTCAGTCCCTTCGGGATGATGGTCCAGGGACAAAGAGGGTGTGCATGATATAAGGGGCTGTATCAAAGCAGGGATCCGCAAAGGAGCACATCCGTTCAGTGTCCGGTTTTAAGCGCGTATTCAGGGTTAGGGCTCAGGGTAAACCCTCCTGGGGCTCGCTATCCCCTGAATGTGCGCGGGTTCAGGGTTTGATGCCAGCTCTCAAAACTCATCTGATGCCAAGTTCTTTCACAGTTCCATAGAGCTAAACCCTCAAGAGCATCAACTTCAAGTCCTACAGAGCCGGAACGCTACTCACAAGACGGGAAACTATAAAAATCCCGAGGTGCCCTAGGGTTACGTCCTTCCTTTGAGGTATACTAACAACAGCCCCTAAAAACCCTACATGTCCCAAGGTTACTTCCTCTGAGGTTTACTATCAACAGCCCTGTAAACCCAACACTTCAGAGGCGTTAAGCAGCGCCCAAAAAATCGAGGCACTTGGAGTACAGCATGAAGACGGACACGTAGCACACGAACCTCATGACAGATGGGGGCTTGCAAGAAAGTCTAATATAGGGGCCTTAATAGCAACAATAATAAGAAGAAGACAAAGAACAATGATAATAATAATAACAGAAACTATAAAAAAATAGTTATTACTATTATTGTTATTATTAGAATAGGGTTTTGGGGGGGCTACCAAGTAGAATTACAAAGGGGTCATAAGGGAATATTATTGGTATTTATTCCGACCCCTACAGCATTAAAGCCCCGAAAAAAAACAAGTTCTCCACCCCTGCAAGGCCCAAACCTCTGAAACCCTAAGCCCTAAGTCGCCATCAAGTCGGTTCAGAATACTGAGGCTTCTGGGTTTTCAATTGCTTCTCAGAAGGCCCTTCCGACGAATCGGTGCCTGATGAAAAAAACAACGAATCTGGGCTTAGGGTGTACTTGAAGGTGCATGGGTAGTTAAAGGTTTCAAGTACCTTGAGTATAGCTTAGAGCTTAGAACCCAGAACCTTTAACTTAGAGCTTCAAACTTCTAACTTCTAAAGTTCTACCTTCAACTTACAACTTACAACTTATCACTTTTAACTTTCAAAATTTTACATTCTAACGTTTAACTTATAACTTATAACTTGTAGCTTATAACGCAGAACTTAAAACTTATAACATGTGACTTTTCATGGCTGGTGGCATGGGGCTTCGGGGGATTAGGGTTTAGGGTTGAGGAGTCTAGGGGAACTACTACGCTGCAGGTATTTGAGGCCCGAACGAAAGCATTGAACCCACGGAATCTTGCCACGAAGCCAGACACACCGCAACATCTGGCCGGTGCTCTGAACGATGGTCCCTTTTGGGCTCCCTGTTAACGCACGGAACCTTCTACCCTAAGCCCTAAACCCAAAACCCTAAACCCTAAACCCTAAACTCTAAACCCTAAACCCCACAAAGGGACCAGAATCCAAGGAACTGGTCACCTACACACCAGCACCTAACCCTACAGCCTAAACCCTAAAACCACACATTACCCTTGGGGCCCAGGGGTGGTCTGCTGGGCTCCGTGCTGGACCGCGCCGATGCCGTTTATCTCAGAAGGGGAAGGAACTTGGTTCTGGGTTTTGGAGGTTATTATCGTATGTTTCTAAAGGGGCCATAAGGGAATAATATTTTCTAATTGTTCCGACCCCTATAGGAATTGTTTTGTCGGGTTTAGGGTTTCGGGGTGGGGCTTTGAGGGTTCTAGGGGTTTAAGGGTTAGGGCCCAGGGTTTTGGGGCTCCAGCATGCTCGAAAAATCAACCGGTTTAGGGTTTGGGGTTTGGGGTTTGGGGTTTAGGGTTCAGGGTTCAGGTTTCAGGGTTCAGGGTTCAGGTTTTAGGGTTTAGGGTTTAGGGCTTAGGCTTTAGGGTTTAGGGTTTAGGGTTTAGGGTTTAGGGGTTTGGGGTTTAGGGTTTGGGGTTTAGGGTTTAGGGTTTGGGGTTTAGGGTTTAGGGTTTAGGGTTTAGGGTTTAGGGTTTAGGGTTTAGGGTTCAGGGTTCAGGGTTTAGGGTTTAGGGTTAGGGTTTAGGGTTTAGGGCGTCTAGGGGTTCGAGGCTTAGGAACACCCGGAACGTAGAAGACACCAATCGTCGCGCACTCAGGAAAGAGATGGCTTGCCGATGGCTCCAGAAGGCATGGACACACGAGCCGGCCTCGCGCTGCAGCAGATCTTCGCGCTGCAGCTGTGGCATATAGCCACAGACAGGCAGCAGACGCCTTGCGAGTTGCCACGACTTCGTGCGGCTTCGTCACTTTCCGGACCTGATCTTGCCTCCGCTCGCAAAGGCGGCAGAGAACCTCACAGGGAGGGACAGTAGCCGTAGGCGTGCAGTTTGCAACAGCCGCCACTACCGGCGTCTGCTCAAAGCCCTGGCCACGCACAACGCCGGAGAGTTTGAGGGCAAGCCAGGCTGAACAGTACAGGTGGATGCGTGTTTAAGGTTAGAGAGACAAGCTGTTGAGACGAGGGACCCTGGGGGACCAAAGTCTAAATGGTAATGGCGTCTTTGGGGTGTAGGGTTGAACAAGACGTTCCATTTCGAGCACACAGTATGTTTCACGTGATGTGCGGCTTCTTTGTTGCGCGAGCGTGGCGAATCTGCCGCGGTCTAGACTGCTATTGGTGGCCTTTTGAGGTTTAGGGTTCAGGGCTTGAATTGATGCCTTGCAGACCTGGCATGGAGGGCGTGGATCCTGTCATTCGGATGCTCTGCCAAGCATCACGGCTCAAATTCTGCTCGAACCACCCTTACTACTCATAATCACAATAATCATAGAAAGAATGGTAATAGCATTTGGGGGGTGAATGTGAAATCGGCTCTATATCACAATGCATGATGTGGTAGGCGCTGCTACTAACAATATTGCTATTGATAGCATGAGGAATGAATATTAAACAGGATACTATATCAGAATACAGAATCTGTTATTCCAAGACAGAAAGCAAAGCCCAAAGGACCAAGGGACCTGAGGACCACGGGACCAAAAGGAACCCAGCAGACCAGAAGAACCCAACAGACCAGGGACCAGGGGACCAAAGGAACCTAGCTCATGCTGGCAAGGTTGTTTGATGCTTCTCACTTTTTGCTGTTATCCATCTGTTTTGCGCCTATCACGTTTTTGAGACCTATGCCCCCTAAACCCCAGAGCCCTAGGCCCCAAATCCCGCCGTGGATGGGTTGAGGGCTTTGGGTTGGGATTTAGGCTTAGGGTTTAGGGTTTTGGACTCAGTGGCTCAGGGTCTAAGAGTTCTAAGGATTTCTTCGAGGACTTTGACGAATTCGGTAAGGCCTGCAGGACCCAGGTTTCCCCTCAGCAGTAGACCCTAAACCCTAAACACACAACAAAACCCCGAAAAAAACCCGACTAAACCCTAAACCCTAAAACCCTAAAACCCTAAAACCCTAAAACCCTAAAACCCTAAAATCCTAAAACCCTAAAACCCTAAAACCCTAAAACCCTAAAACCCTAAAACCCTAAAACCCTAAAACCCTAAAACCCTAAACCCTAAACCCTAAACCTAAGCTCGTGCAGCCTGGCGGCCAGCAGGTTCGGTGTAAGATTCTGCGAGGTGACTTCCATCGTGACGATGGACTGGTCGGGGCTTTGAAGGGGGGCTGTTAGAAGGGGGCGGGAGCCAGGGTTTAGGGTTTAGGGTTTAGGGTTTAGGGTTTAGGGTTTCGGGTTTGGGGTTTGGGGTTTGGGGTTTGGGGTTCGGGGTTCGGGTTTAGGGGTTTAGGGTTTGGGGTTTGGGGTTTGGGGTTTAGGGTTTAGGGTTTAGGGTTTAGGGTTTAGGGTTTAGGGTTTAGGGTTTAGGGTTTAGGGTTTAGGGTTTAGGGTTTAGGGTTTAGGGTTTAGGGTTTAGGGTTTAGGGTTTAGGGTTTAGGGTTTAGGGTTTAGTCGGAGGGCTTGGGATTTAGGGCACAACTAGAAGGGTTCAGCGTTTAGGGTTTTAGGGTTTATCTAGGGATGTTGGGATGTAAGGTGCCCGAAACCCTAAACCCCACCCTGAACCCGAGTTAAACCCTGCACCCGAGCTAGGCCTGACGAAGCACAATTTGCGCAAATCCCCCAAACACGGCCAAACCCTAAACCCTAAACTCTAAACCCTAAAACCCTTAACCCTTAACCCTTAACCCTAATCCTCAAGCCTAAACCAAGGCTTTCAAGGGCGGCCACCAGAATCCCTTAAAGGGTTAGTATTGGGGGGGGGGGGGGGGGGGGGGGCGGGGATACTGGACAATTCCGACTTCCGACTGAGAACCAACTAGAAACCCACTAGAAACCCAAACCCAAAAGACCCTGAACCCCAAAACCTAAATTCCGGGACTTTAAGCCATGTGCCACACAGAGGCCCAGTAGACCCAGAGGCTGCAGTTCACCACTCCCACCACATACCTGGGCAGGTCCCGCCTCTTGGGGGATTTAGGAAAACCAAGGTCCCCAACGCAACCTTCCGGCCAACTAGCGAATATACAATATACCAGCGATGCAAGGCGCATCACAAAGATTCGCCTCATTTGAACAAGATCCAAGCCCAAACCCTAAACGCGAACCCAAAGCTCAACAGCCCCGATGCCCCTCTACTCCCTAATTCACACTACTGAGAAAGCCCTAAACCCCAAAACCCCCCCCCCCCAATTTTGCAACATTTGCGGGGGAGGGGGGTGGGGAGGGGGGATGCTGCGGTGCAGCGCAGGCACGGCACCACAGAGAATTCCTGGACATCCTCGGGTGATACAAATGCCGGGCAAAGAGGGACGCGCATCTTACGCTCGCTCGCGCGCGCGAGCGCGCGCGCACGCGCGCGCGGGGGCGGGAAGAGGCTTAGGGTTTAGTGCTTATTCAGGTTTCAGGGTTTAGGGTTTAGGGTTTAGGTCCAGGTTAGGGTTTAGGTCCAGGTTAGGGTTTAGGGTCTAGGTGAAACCCAAAACCCAACAACCCTGGTCCTTGCTCTTGTGGATCTGCAGGCACGTAGGTACCGGGCTCAGGAAGTACCTCATATTTTAAGAATACTCGTAATTATAGCAACAATAATAGTAATAGCATAGCAAGAATATTAACAAATAACAGGCTTTTCAGTCGTTCGGCTTTGCTCAGGGTTCAGGACCTAGACCCAACAGTAACCTTGAGAAAAAGAGTGGTGCCCTTGTTGGTTTAGAGGGGATTAATAAGGCAGCCTAAACCCGAAAGAAAGGGAGCCTACTCTGGGTCCCAGGGAGTCTCGGTTCAGGGTCTGGGGTTTGGTTTTTAGGGGTTTAGGCTGGGGTAGGGTTTGGGTTTTAGGGTTCAGGGTGGATTGGCCTTTAGGGCTGAGGGAGTCGTTAGGGGCGACATCTTCAGTGATTCAGCCCACAACCCCTACATCCTAACCCTCCGAATGCAGACATCATCAGCAAGGCCGCGAGATGTTTGAGGTTCAGGGTTGAGGGGTTCCGGTTTAGAGTTTAGGGTTGCGCACAAGAGAACCTCAAGCGGAAACGCAAAAAAGAACTTCAAGAATCTCAAATGCAAAGGAAGATGATGAGAATGACATAAGATAGCTGTCCAGCGGACAGTCCCATAACCTAGACCCTAGACCCAAACCTTTGAGCCTCAGGGTGTAGATTTGGGGATGCTGGGCCTCGCTTTGGTATGGCTTTTAGGAGGTCAGATTGTACTCTTACTGAAAGGATCTTAGGGTGCAGGTTTAGCCCAACAAGATCCAGGTAAAACAAGGGCTGCCCGGCTGCACAAAGGTCATGACCATCCTGGATCTCAGGGTTTAGGGTTTAGGGTTTAGGGTTTAGGGTTTAGGGTTTAGGGTTTAGGGTTTAGGGTTTAGGGTTTAGGGTTTAGGGTTTAGGGTTCACAAGGGCTTCTCAGGGCTTCAAAGGAACTATCAGGTTTGGGGGGTCGATCGAAACTAGGCTCCCCTCGTCGGGACCCGATTATGAGTCTATCAGGGACCACGTGCCCAAACCAGAGAACACGGAGCTCGATTCCTATGAAGGGTGTTTGCGGCGCGAGATGTCCCTCTATGTTTCATGGGTAGTGGTAAGCAGGGTTATGAGCTAGGCAACCTATAGTAACCTTAGTTAAGGTACTTCTAGCCCCTTACAAAACTACCCATGAACCTTGAAGTAGGGTTTCGGGCACCCTAGACCGGCCTGCCGCGCGATTCTTTGCATATGCTCTCTTTTGAAGAAGCTCAACGACATATCATAATATACATCATACGGGCAGCTCTCAATTTAAGGGTGCTGTACTAAATTGGAAACCCTACAAGAAACCTGACTTAGAGAACTACGTACTCAGAAGCCTCTTTGGCTTGAAATACAGCCCAGAGATCTGGAAGCCCTGACAACCAAAGCAAAGCCCTGGCACTCGGAACCCAAAACCCGAAACCCCTAAACCCCCAAACCCGAAACCCCCACAGTACCACGCCACTAAACCCCTAAAACCCTGCACCCCATACACCCCTAAACCCTAGAACCCCTTTAAAAACCCTGGAAAAACCCCAAAAAGACCCTTAATCCCGGAAGGTATGAGATGCAGACAGGCAAGGCGCCCGGCATAGCCGAAGAGCGCCCCAAGCTGCTCCTTGTCCACCATGGCTCTCACTTTGCCGGGCACGGAAGCCCCTGAAACCTCAACCTTCACGCCCTGAACTGGGGTTTAGGGTTTAGGGTTTAGGGTTTAGGGTTTAGGGTTTGGGTTGGGGTTTGGGGTTTGGGGTTTAGGGTTTAGGGTTTAGGGTTTACGGTTTAGGGTTTAGCAATTAGGGTTTAGGGCTTAGGGTTTAGGGTTTCGGCACCAGGGTCTGAAAAGCAGTGAAGGGGGAAGTTTGATTCAAAGGGCTATGTCTGGCCAGCTGCTTCGTTATAGTTTGGAAAGTTACATATACGGATTTTCGCCTGTAAGATTGGTGATGAGCTTGCCCCCCTGCTCGCATTCTCTGGCCTTCACACGGCATTTGCCCGACAATGCTCAGCCTGAGCCCTATGATGCGGTCCAGGATACCTACCTCTCCAGCAACCAAGCAATAAAACAAAGGGTAATCTTTCCTGGGGATCCTTAATTGGGATAATAAATAGGGGTACTATAATCCCTATTTGAGGACTGTTCGTCTAAGGCGGGAACATCCCAAGGTTAAACTTTATTTCAAACAAGGAAGCCCGAGAAGTTTATGAAGTTCAGGCGTTGCCTAAGTAAGGATGTCGGGTTCATGTAGGGCTTGAGGCTTCAGGGCTTAGGGTTTAGGGAGGATGTTGGGTTTAGGATTTTTAGGGTTTAGGGCCTAAACCCTAAACCCTAGGCTAGGCAAGGATGTAGGGTTTAGGGCTTTGGGCTTCAGGGCTTGGGGCGCACCAGCGGCAGGTTTGGGACTGGGTTTGCAGGTTCCCAGCCCACGCCCCGAAACATCCCGGAACCCCCGCCGGCTCCAATGGTTTAGGGTTTATATAGGGTTTAGGGTTTAGGGTTCAGGGTTCAGGGTTTAGGGTTTAGGGTGTAGGGTGTAGGGTGTAGGGTGTAGGGTTTAGGTGGTTAGCCAGCTCGAGTTCGAAGATGCGCGTACGATCCTGAATAGTGCCAGATGCATGCACAGTCAAAGGCCGGGCCAGTCAACTCACAGTCATTCAGTCCTACGTAGCTGACGTAGTTCGTCTCCAAGGAGCTTCTTCGAGACAGTCGGCGCGACTGCCCTAAACCCTAAACCCTAAACCCTACACCCTAAACCCTAAACCCTAAACCCTAAACCCCAAAACCTAAACCCTACAGCCTAAACCCTAAACCCCAAAACCTAAACCCTGAGGGTTCAGGCTCAGAACCG